AATTGAATCAAGGAGAAGTTTGATTTGTTCTTCTTAATATACAAGTTTGCAAGTTATTTCTGCCATCTTCGATAGTAAAATGAAACAGAAGGCTGAACAATCAGTTACTAGCAATCAAACATTAATCAACAGAACTACTTCCTCCGTCCGGAATTATTTGAGGAGGTATAGATACATCTATTTCAGCGTAAGCAATTCCGGACGGAGGTAGTAGCATCCAGCAAACAAATACGCAATTAGACGCGCCTGTTTATACTCTTATAACTGAAAAAACAGTGTTACATCTCACATCCTCTTGTTCTGGACCCATTTCAGCGATTGTGACACTAGCCAGCATTCATCCACGTAAACAAAAACTACAAAATCGCAATTGGGGACCTTTCACTCGATATGCTACCATCAACACGTCTAGTCTTAAGCATTCAAGAAATTTCAAAACCTTACACAAAGGTTGCGCTCCAATGCTCTCGAAGCTATACATGATACAGGTGCTTAAATTGTTCAACCATAACTTTGCACTTGCTCAGCCGCCGAGGCGAAGTGGATCGCCTCCAAGAATTTTCGCAAGCACCTTATGTTCCTGACGAAGCAAAAAAATGATTATTTTTACATGAGCGCCCATCTAAGTAAAGATACTGTTACATGCTCATAGTATACAAACGACATATAAAGAGAAAAATGGAACTAAAAGCCTGGTTGATGTGGGCAACCGAGAACTGCTGGGCAGACATCTAGAGCTTGTAAATCACCAAATGCTAACCCCTCTGTTCACTATTATAAGATGTTCGAACTTTTTTCTAAATCGGGTGTATGTAGACAAGTTTTAGTGTGTTTGTTCACTCATTCAATCCGTATGTAGTCCATATATTGAAATACCCAAAACATCTTATAATAGTGGACGGAGAGAGTATATATCTAATTACCTTCACACATGCGAGACTGACTTCATACTATTTTTTTTCTCCTTTTATGACAACTACTTGATAAAAGCCATACTCGACGAGTACCTTATTGCTCTACAATGTTCTCTCCCGTAGTAACATCAACATAAGTCTTAAGTTCAAACACACGAACCCGTAGAAAATATGAAGATTTTCATAGGGAAGTTAGTTATGCTTTTCCCGGTTGGTTCTAATTTGGAACATTCTTTTTATGCAAACACTATGGATGTGTTGGGGTGTTAAAAGATGGTATCGGAGCACATGTTGACCGCAAGACATGACCTTAGCGCATGGAATACGAAAAGCCATAGGAATCAAAAACTATTTTGATTCATAAGCTGGATGACCTTGTCAAAGTGACCCATAAGCCGGCAAACCGCCTCGCGGTATGCTATCATCCGTGGATCTCTTGCTTCAAAGTTCTTCGTAACCTAGGGAATCACCATGCACCTCCAGCCTACGGATGCCCATGGAGATGGCCAAATGCAAAACATGGAGGAGGGTCACGTATTCGACCACGTTGTTGAAGTCAGTTGAAGAGGATCTGTAACACATAGCGTATCTGGTCTAATGTTGGAGACATTGGGACGACGCCGGTGGTGGAAAAATTACCAATTTTATGACTGATTTAATCCAGAATAAATCATGATAATGACATATGCCATATTTAATCTTGTATTGATATTTAACCATGTAAGCACATACTAACCATACATCAGATATATCTACATAAAGAACAAGTACGGCCAACATAGGAATAAACAGGAGAGGGAGGGATGAACGTATTATACCCTCCAGTTGGCCAGGTCAGTCGTGGCGGTGGCAACATGCTCGGTAGCCTTCTTCTTTCTGGCTTCGAAGTTCTGACACATGTCAAAGTTGGAGAGGTCGGGGACATAGTCGAAGTAGAGAACGAAGACGAACAGCAGCGAGCAGTCGCGTCAGAGACGCTCCCCAAGAACCTAATTGCCCTTCTCCTGGTGCAGGATCGCAAAGGACGGGGTTCCAAAGGCCTGCTCTTTCGTACAATCGTGCACACGGTTGACGGGATGGGATCGCCGAAAGCAGCCGCAGCAAGCAAAATGACAGTGGGTTGTGCGCGAGGAGGTAGAGCAGATGCGATCTACTCCCTCCGTTCCAAAATAGATGACTCAACTTTGTATTAAAGTTAGTACAAAGTTGAGTCGTCTATTTTGGAACGGAGGGAGTAGGTGACAACTAGAGTTCCGACGCCTCCTATATATAGGCGGTCGTGGTAGGGAGACGTGGGGCTAGAGTCGCTGGACCTACTCCCGAGTCAGCAACAACCCATGGTCCGACGTCTTAGATTCATAGCAAGTCCGAGAATGACTCGTAATTAACTAGTAATTAATTATTCGTTCCTGACCGGCAAAAATTAAGCGCACACATGACATTAGTTTGAGCTCGGCTCGGCTCGTTCACGACATCTGCTCGGGCGTGGTGAGGCGGGCGGCAGAGGAGCAACGCAGCAACGCGGGAAGCATTCCTCTTCTCAAGCTCCAATAGCATGTAGAAGAGAATCCCTTATAAAGAGGTCACAACACTCCTCCACTCATGAGGTGGGACTAAACTCACCTCATGAGTAGAGGGGTGTGGAGAGCCCCTTATAAGGGATATTCTTCTGCATGCTATTGGAGCTTCAGATGAGAAGGGGTTCCTGCGCACTCCTCCGCCGCTGTCAGCCTCGCCACGCCTCGCATGCATGCGCGTCGGGTTTTGTGAACGAGACAAGCCAAGTTCAGACCTATGTCATGGTGCGCTTAATTTTTGCCATCAGGAACGGATAATTAACCGCATGTCATTAGCATGATTTATTTCTAGATTAATTTAATCAAAAAATTGCTAACTTCTCCATCAATCCAAAAACCAAAGGTTTGTAGGCAATTGTCGATTCATGGCTTTACTGCAACAATGAAACCAAACCGGATTACGAGTACACATTTTAAGCATGGGCAGACCAAAACTACCTTGTGCCTCACAATGATTAACGTCTTCTGGGTCGTTGACTTCTCTGATGAAGTTGGCCTCGGGCAACTTGGAAATCTCCTCACCATCGCGTGCCTCTTAGGCTTAGAAAATCTGCGCGGGGTTTGCTTTACTGGTTGGAATCTAGGTTAGCTATTTAGGGTGTGTGCAGTGAGTTCCATTGGGGTTCCGAGCATGTCGGATGATTGCCACGTGAAAATTTCCTAGCTCTCACGAAGGAACTCGCAGAGCGTGCTTTCTTATTTCGGATCCAGGTCGGCCCCGACCTCGTCATGCTAACAAAAGACGGCGCGCTCAGCTCGGCCTCAAACCAAAAGCTGGCAAGTCCATGGACCAGGTCAAGGGCGGTGCTTCAAGTCACTGGAAGTCGGCCCACTAGGCCGCACCGAGACCTCCTAGGTCGCTACACGACCCCGATCATCAATCCGGCCCATGGGCCCTCTATAAGGAAACAACATCCTTAGCATGCAAGACAAGCTCCGAACTCTGTGAGGACTCTCCAACCACCTTAGCCGACTAGGATTCATGTAACCATAGGCCTCAACATCCTTTATAAGCCGAGGTCGGGCTAGTCTTTAGGGCACCTTATCATCTTCCCTTGGTATACCTAAGATCCTTAGATCAATCTTGTACTATGTACAGTGTACACCCCATCAAATCAATACAAGAGCAAGAGTAGGGTTTACCTCCAAAGGGGAGGGCTCAACCCCGGGTAATTTCACTCGTTTCTCCATTGAGCTTTCTGGCTAGTCACAGCAGCCTACCGAGGGATCTACCGAATTTCACACCGACAAAGGGCATAGTGTTGTGGAGCGCCTACCATGCCAAGGGGTGCTACGTCATGTGTCTCACGGACAAAAACTTCAAGAACCTTCCTGTAGGGGATGTTGTTGACAAGCTCATCGCCGAGTGGAAGGTTGTGCCCAAGGACGCCAAGACCGATGACAATGGCGTCACTGAGAATGAGCTCTTCCACGGTGAATACAATACACTGAAGCACAAATTGCTCAAGGACCCCCTCGTGCATATGGTAGACCTCGACTCGAAGTCAGAGGCCACCATCAAGGCCAAGGAATAAACCACTGGCTGATGTGGCTAGAGGTACCAATTTTTATTTTTGCTATGTTGTTTTGTGAAGGGGAACCTTGGCGCAGTGGTAAAGCTGTTGCCTTCTGACCATGAGGTCACGGGTTCCAAGTCCTGGAAACAGCCTCTTACAGAAATGTAGGGAAAGGCTGCGTACAATAGACCCAAAGTGGTCGGACCCTTCCCCAGACCCTGCGCAAGCGGGAGCTACATGCACCGGGCTGCCATTTATGTTGTTTTGTGATATATCTTTTACACTACCTTGGGATGTTACAGTAAGACGGCCTTGTTCAGTAATCAATAATATGTTTTGGTTTGGGGGCTTGGTATTGCTTATGTTGCAGTAATCAGTAATATGTGTTGGTTTGGGGGCTTGGTATTGCTTATGTTGCTTGGTGACAGGTGAAATTTTTGTGAGGCATGCGTCATTTGCTACATCCAAATTAATTTTACTATATCATTTGAACATGTCAGTTGTCAGATGTTAATTTCTATTAGTTGAAATACATTTTGGTGTTTCTCTTTTAGAGAAGGAAGTAGATGGACACTTTTACTAACAATTCAAAACAGTGCAAACAAATTGAGGAACGTGTCAACAGCTTCCTCAGTGGGCCATCTGTGGTTCTAGGGCCAAATAGTGCCAACTCCTAAGATGAAATATATAGACATGGACTAGCCATGACCCGATTTGGTCTCCACTACGCTCCGCCACTGGGAGTGTGGGTAATATTCTTTTGATATTCCAGAACAGCGAGCTTTCTTTTGTGAGAAAAAGTAGCTTCTATGAAAACAACAACAGAAGACTTACTACTCCCTCACTCTAGCACTGTGAACGCTAAACATCTGTGATCAGCATAAGCAATAAAGAATGGAGAAGACCAATAACAACAAAAGACCGCAATTCTCGGTAAGTGTTACCTTTGATTTGATAGCTGCCCACTAAGATAAACAGAGCTCATATTGTGGCTAAATATCCAAATCATCATCGGGGTCTTCATCCGAGTCAGGTCGCTCATCATCAGAATCACGAAGGTAATGAATTTCACCCTTCGGGTTTGCAGATTTAAGAGCTTCTGTTTCATCCAGGAGAGCTGCCGTAGTTAAATTGGGATCTTGATGAGCCTCCGGGAGAGATCGCCGTCCATCGTATATACGGATTGGCTCGCCCTTTCCTGAAATTAAGGTAAGAGCAAGCGGCAATCAGTTACTGATTCTTCGTCAATTCAGCTCAGCTAGCCAAATGTGACATATAAAACTTAGGACAGACACTAACTATTGGTCAATAACTCCATTTTATGAGTACCTTGATGTTCGAAAGGAAGAACAACATTTGCCCTGTCACTGCGCTCCTTTTCTGACAACTCAAGATTGAACTGAACCTGTTTGCCAACATATCACAATTCATAACCAATATTTTTTACAGAAACCAAACCAAGTAATAAGGCAAATATGCTAATATTATTCAAATAGAGGTTGGGATGTATGAACAAACCTTAGGTAGTAGACTTTGGTTCACTTCCATACTTACAGAAGTAGCAGAAATAAATTTTACATCATATCCCTCGACACATAACTCCTCATACTGCATAGGTAGGGATAGTTTCAATCAAATATTATTCACAGTGTGGTATATTTAGAATAACTTGAAGTTTTGCCCACCAAATGACCAAGAGCTTTACCAGATGCTTCACCCGTCCATTCCTTCGTTTCAGGCGCACATGGAACTTTGCTTTCGAATAGTTATGCTCAAGGAAAGACATGTCCCCCCTACGTTCTTCTCCATATACAGAATCTACAACTTCTGGCTCTACACAAGCAACCATGGTAGAAAGACATTCAAAAGCTCGGGAAAACTTGGTTTCATGGAGATCTGAATGCATTAGCCAGAAGATCGACGATATCTGATCTGAAATACAGAGGATAGTACACATTAATACTGTAAGCATCACATGAAGAATGGTACATCAACCTTTTAGACCATATGAATGCTTCATATTGATAGTACAGTCCATTTAATTGGTGTGTTGCTCAAAATATCCTCAAGTGTGGTCCTTTAGTTGATGTGCAATTGTGCAGCGTATATCCGTGTAGAACAAGATATATACAGCATGCATTTTGTACAATATATGCTGCATCATTAATGTAAATGCTGAATTTCAATTGCATCTACATTTTACCATGAGCACAAATGGGAAATATAAAAGAAGAAATAATACCATGGCTTCGAAGATTACTAAGAAGGCCTGAAATTGATTGCACTGAAGCATGCCTTAACATAGAGCTGATCTGAAATATCATGAAGGACTTTGCTGTTAAACATCAAAGAATTTAAATAATATTGTAGAAGTGTGATTAACTTTTTTCGATCACAAAGAATGCAAAGACAGGTTTGCTTTACACAATATAAACAGTGTCAAGTTATAATCGTAAAATGCAAATGGTAGAATACTTGTAGGTGACATGTTGGTGTTATCCAGATGGGGGTAAAGTGATATATTGGTTTGATACCTTTGATTGATTGTTCCAGATGACCCAAAGCTACTGAAGTTTAATACACAAACTGCTAACTAAAAGATTAAGGTGTACTGTTCAATTTTCGCACGAACTTCCGGAATTCGCATTTTAATGCAGCCAGTTCCATAAGCATCAAGAATACTAAATTATAGCAGAAGAACATATGTATGGTAATATGTGGTGCAAAGTATGCCAGAGTTGCAATTAACACAACACAACCCAGTTTCATCTTTAGGGAAAACATACTTGGTACTGTATTAAAATCTGCCCTAAGTAAGCTTTCCATAGAAGAAAAAAAGTTTCCATCAAGATACATACTGAATCAACAGCAACAGAAAAATAGGTCTTGCCTTCTCCTTCAAACCCTGATATGCAAGGCATACAGTGTGGCATTAGCTTCATGATCATAAATAAGGAAATTAACAAGTCAAAAAGGTTATATGGTGGATTGTACCTCTTCCAAGATCAATTATGGAGCACGACAACTTATCAACATCCTTCACACTTCTGAAAGTTGTTATGGTGTCTTTGTTTGTTGAGCACAGTGTTCCACTGTTCTCTTGTTGCTGCTGACTTCGAATATTTTGCTTCCACCCCAGTGGGTCTGAGTAGCAATCCAATATCCGAACACTGTTGGAACAATGCAAAAATTCTAAAACAGGGTATTGCACATTCATGTAAATTCTACCATCATGAACATTTAAACTATGACCTGCATTGCGCCAACTTTGGCCTACATTAAGGAGATGCTATGTGAGGTTCACAGTAGAACATTTTAACAGAAAATAATCTCTGATTTCACAGTCTAGCTCACACTTTAAAATGTCAACTCTACAAATTGTCTGTTATGCTAAAGCTCTGAATATCTTTTCCAATTTAAATTACTCTGCAAAGTCTTACCATCGACTCAGTGCATTTGAATCAAGGCCGTGCCGAAGCATGATATCCAGGTAAACTTCCGGGCTACGATCAAACGCCACGACCACAAGTCCCCTGCACCACCACAATTTGCCAGCCAAACCAGCAACCCGCGTCATTATCCAGCCGAAGTCAAGCTAAAGCAGCATACCACAGAGGATCCCAGCAGTACCTGGCCTGTGCCTTCCCCGCGGCCGCGTTGGAGGCGACGGCGGCGGCGACGTGGAGCATGGCGCGCGCCGCGAGCGGGCAGCACTGGAGGGAGCCCTCCACGGCCAGCGCCGGCGCGTGCTCGCCGTCGAGGCGGCCGTCCCGGAGGCACCTCACCGCCGCGTCCGCCATCTCAGCTCCCCGTCGTAGTCGTCGTCGTCGCCGGCGGCGCTTCCCGACTCAAAACCTTAAAACCCTAGCGCGAGGGGATGGAGCTTTTGCAGAAGGGCCCCTCCCTCCTCGCGCCTCTTCGCGGAACAGCCCTCTAGCTCGGACTTCGCAGAGCTCCCGGAAGCCAGGAGCGGTACGGGCCCGCCTGTCAGGGAGACTCGGAGTGCCTTCCCTTTTCCATGTCGGATACGTTTGACTACTCCTCCCTGTTCTTAAGCCCAGCTTCTCCTGTTCCTCTGCTCGTTTCCTGCGCGGCGGCGGCGGCGAGAGGAGGGAAGAAGAGGAGAGCGGGGAAGATGCAGGCGTGCGCTAGGGCGGCGGGGGAGGGGCTCCCGCTGGTTCGTGCCCCCGCCAGGCAGCCGCTGGCTCAGAGGTACAGTATCTCTCTTCGTCTCTGCGGTTCCTGTCCGTTTGCCCCCCCTAATTGATGCCCCCGCTTGCCAAGAAATTTGCTAGACAGCTTGTTGTTCCCATGGTACTGAGTTCGTATTTCTACTTGCAGTTGTATCTCTGCAATCAAATAATTCATTTGAATTTAACATGATTGCTGGGACTTGCTATATAAATTATCTGTTGTTCTGCAAGCTATTTTTTTTAGCTTATTATATACTTGCGATAGTAGTATATTGTCTGTTATTCACTGAAATCCCTTTTATTTAGCACACTGTTAATTTGATTGAGCTGTTATGGAATCCTCATAAGGGCAAGTACTTGCTCATAATTGTCTTTTTTCAGCGCATTGGCAACATAAATTGTCTGTTGCTATTTTCGTTTGGCATTTGCTGCTGCTTACTGAAGTTCCTTTTCTGGAGCACATGAAAAATATTTGTTTTAATTTCATTGAGGTTTTGTGAAATCCTCATTCGGGTTAATAGCACTAACGCACTTTTTTCCAGCTTTGTTAAGGTCAGCAGACTACCTTCTTTGCATGAGACAAATCGTGTAGTCTCCTGCTCGGCGAGGGTGTCAGAAAATATTTCACACAAAATAGAAGCCAGCATGGATCATATTCTTCCAGCATCGCAAGATCATGTCGTGAAAGCAATTGAAGCAATTAATGGGGGACAAGTGATCGCGGTGCCCACCGATACAATATATGGGTTTGCTTGTGATGCATGGTTAGTGCTATCTTAATTTCTCTTTGCGCTAAGAAATTTAGTTTTTTTTTTGCCTTCTTTTAAACGTCGTTTTCATATTGATTCCAAATTATAACTTGCCGCAGTGGTGCAGTGTGGTTGTATAGCACAGAAAATCCGAAATTGCTTTCAGTAATTACTCCTGAATCAAGTTATGATAGAGAACTAAGCGATAGCTTAGTGGTAGGGGCACTGTTCTGTGCTCCAAGCCAGCCAGGTTCGATCCCTGAGGGGAACGGATATCAACTGTGTTTCTCGTCTCCTCCTATAAAAATATGCCGAGGGGCTCCTCCCCCTCTGGTCTCGTTTAAATCAAGTTATGATAAATCTGTAGTCTTGTACCCATATCTAAATTACGCATGTGATGCAAACATCCAGAATAAATTTCAGAAACCTTCATTAGTTACTTTTGAACCTTGCTTTCACCAAGACTTAGACTTCCATTGCATCCTTCTAAGCTAAGACTTCCATTTTGGAGTTTCTGTCACTGAATTTCAGTTGGTTGGGTTCATCCATGATTCACTCTAAAAATTCTCGTCATGACAGTTCTGCAGAAGCAGTCAATCGGATATATGAAATCAAAGGACGCATACATACACGCCCTTTGGCAATCTGCGTTGCTGATGTCCCAGAAATATCACGGTTTGCCGTAGTGGATCACTTGCCCCATGGTTTGCTTCATAGTCTTCTTCCTGGGCCTGTCACTGTTGTTTTAAAGCGAGGTGGGGATACTACACTACATTTCAGTTTTCTCAAGCTTCTTTGTTAAACTGCATGAGGTGCTGAATATATTCTTTATTCATTACATAGGTGAGAACAGTATACTGGAGAGATCTCTTAATCCTGGTCTGGACAGCATTGGAGTACGTGTGCCAAAATTGGATTTCATACGATCCATTGCTCGTGGTGCTGGAAGTGCACTTGCGCTTACAAGCGCCAACTTAAGTGGTCGTCCTAGTAGCGTCAGTGTCAAAGATTTCGGGTATCTGTGGCCACACTGTTCATATGTCTTTGATGGTGGTATACTTCCTTCTGGACGTGCTGGTTCAACAATTGTTGACCTAATAACACCAGGAGTCTACAGGATATTGAGAGATGGAAGGTAAGCTCAAGAATAGCAACATCAATTGTTAATAGCTCTTGTTAAATTATTCACATCCAATTGAGGATGGTATTGTCTTAAGTACAGTATCCAAATTGACTTGAATCGCTGACATGGATACAATTGTGCAGTTCGAGGGAGGAAACAATGGCTGTGCTGGGAAAATTTGGCTTTGTTGAAGCTTCATAGCAGCTGGTGCCTTCATACTCATTTCCTGTTTAATTAGGTTGTAGCAGAGTATATATGATGTTCTTTGTGATTTTACTCTTGTGTCACTGTAACTTTTTGGTTGAAGCATTGGTTTATTTTCCTTGTAACAATATCCACGACAATGCCCTTACAGACTTGCAATCTGCTGTAACCTTCAGTTGGTACAGTTCATTCAGATATACGTAGTAGATTACAGTGGCACTCGTATGCAAGCTACAGGAAAGTGATCTTGATTGAGAACCTGAGATGGATTATGTGTAGACAGTGAGGGACATGTTCACTAATTCGTGTAACATATTGTAATGATGCGATGTTTTAACAATATAACAGCAGAGTTGATGTTATTTGTTTGGAACGCAACATGTACTTCATTGAAGTTTCTTAGCCATAGTGGTAGGTTGATTGGTTAGCACTTGGCATCTAGGGCGTTCCAGACAAGAGAATTGCTCTAATATTTTTTGGTAGCTTTTGCCATGGAGTAAGTATGTGATGATTTGTTTCAGAACAATAGTTGACTACTTTTCCAACAGAAGTTTGAGATATGCAGCTATGTGTACAGATCGACCAAAGCCCATTGCCTGTAGTATTTAGGCCAGTACTCTGCGCCGGCGCACCGGCCCAAATTTGGACCGGTCTGCTGCCGAGCGTTGGATCTGCAAACGCGAAAGGACGAGATTGTCGCGACCAAGTCATCTTCTTCCTTCCGTGCACACGCGAACAGAAAAATAGATCTCCGCCGGTAAGCCTCTTCGGTCCTTGGCTGCTGCGCTGCAGCTCGCCAGGGCCACGCGCCGCCGCAGCTCGCCGGGGCTGCTCACCGCATGCAGCTCCGTCGGGCCGGTCCAAAAAGGAAATATGTCCCTAGCTCCGTCGAGCCGGGCATGTCTCCCACCCCTGGTTGCAGCACCGCTGAGTGAGGGTTCCAGCATCGTCGCAGCCCACCGCCGTACATGCCACGCGCCCATCGCAGCAGGCATGCAGCTCCGTCGCCGCTGCTCGTCATTGTTGGCTAGCCGTTCTCCGTTGAAGCTTTTTCAGAAGCGTGTTGTAGCTTTTCTAGACGTCGGTTGCAACTTTTTTCGTCGCCGGTTGTAGCAAAGTCGACCTCACCAGCTCCAGCAAAACGCCCCCGCTGATTGCAAACATGGCCGTATGGTGGTAGCATTTTGTGTCGCCAATTGTAGCAAAAGTGTACGCCGATAGTAGCAAAAATCCATCAACGGATGCAGCAAAAATCATCTCACCGCCATTACTGGTCGCAGCTCCACCGTGATGGATGTAGCAAAATCCATCGCCAGTAGTACCAAAATCCAACAACGGATGTAACAAAAAAAGCCAGCGCCGTAGTAGGTCGTAGCTCCACAGCTATGGATGTAGCAAATCCGGCGCCGGTAGTAGCAAACAATGGCAACGGTTGCAACAAAAAACTTGGCCACATCCAGCAAAGTTCTTCTTGCCGGTTGCCTCGCTTAGTTTGCTTCTCCTTCGCCGCCGTTGACGTAGGGTTGTAACTTTTCTGCACACGGTTCCAACACCATGAGCGGTGGGTTGTAGCTTTCATGTGCTCCTCGTCGTCCCGTAGAGCAGAGTTGCAACATCTCGCCGGCCGGTGGTAGCACTTCGTCGCCGGTGACAGAGCTTACAATTGCGAGAGGCATGGAGGGCGGTTGCGGTCTGTGAAGAAGCAGAGCTGCGACGGCTGGGGGTTGCAGAAAGAGGAAAGGAGAAGAGTAGTTTTGCGCGCAGACCCACCCATGTACACTTGGCTCGCGTGGGACGGTTGTTTTCATGGGCGCATGCGCCGGCATACGAACCGGCGGAAAGTTCCGCCGGACTGCCGGCTCGAAACGTTTTCCTAGTATTTACTAGTGATTTCCTTGTGAAATATGTGAAATACATGTTGCATATGTTGGCTGCTCTCGTCCTGGTCTTATGGTTTTATATTAAGTTGTATATGCTAGTATATCTGGGTGTATAGTGAGTATGCTAGCACTACAATACACGGTTTATTGCAGGAAATAAAATTGATGATTACATCGTATCACCTTATTTTAAACTGATTAAAGTGTTGAGAATGGTCACGGACAATTCCTCCTTTGCTACAAGAATGCTTTCCAACAACTACGGGCCTCTTTGATTCTCAGGATTCTCAAAACGCAGGAATAGAAAAAATGTAGGAATACAGTGTCATGTCCTCTTGTATCCTATGGAATTTGGAGAAGTGTTTGATAGCACAAGAAAAGTAAAGGAATTCTACAAAAAAGTTTGAGTGGATGAAAAGTTTCCTCCAAAATGTAGTATAAATGAATTCTATGGAAAAAATCCTAAGGATTTCAATCCTACAAATCAAACGACCATCACAGGAAAAAATCCTAAGGATCCAAATCCTGTAAAAATCCTATGCATTTCCTTTGTATCAAAGGAGCCCTACAACGTCAGAATGACATTTTACCAATCTTGGCTGGGCCAAAATTGTAGTTTGTGAATACTGTAATAAAAGAAATTTATTCTACGGAACTACTAAGACTGGTCAATTTTACATTCAGCACCGTATGTACAATCTTTAGGCGCTGGAGCTTGTAAGGCTGGACTTGGATTCTGGTGCTTTTAGCTCATGTCAGCTTATGGTTTGTGTTATGAAACAAATTCCTTCTTTATTATCAGCCTGACTTTATTATGTCAATTGTAGACACCGTTTTTAGAAGCTTTTTCATGTGGTACACTCTAAAAGTTTTTTTCTGTGTTGCAGTTTATATATATATCCGTGCATTGGGTATCACCAGTCCGAAGATTCCAGCTCACAATGCCGTCAACGAACTGTTAATTGCATCACCTTTGTATACATGTTTGCTCATGCCCAAAAATAGGAGTCAAAACTTTGTATGTGCTATATCGGGTTGGTCCAGATGTGTTTTGTCATCCAACGCGGTTCTATATTGGCCCGCTCAGCAGTTCGGATGCACTTTTTTTTCTCAAACCGGAG